TAGAACCACCTGTTATCCTGTAAGATCCGAGGTAGCACCTTCGATTCGCAGGTGAGGAAACACGTCAGAGAGGCGCTGGGACACTGTCAAGGGGGATGGAGTCCCATCCAGGCTGTCCCATCCGCGGTGGCGTCTCTCCCGCCTTCAAGGCCTCCAGTGACTCCCCTTGCCCTGAAGAGAACATCTAGACCAGTGGTTCTCAACCTTCCTAACGCAGGACCCTTTAATACAGCTCCTCATGTTGTGGCGACCCCCAATTTCATTGTTACAAATGGAACAATAATTAAAGCATAGTGATTAATCACAAAAACAATATGCAATTATGTGTTTTCCGATGGTCTTAGGCGACCCCTGTGAAAGGGTCGTTCGACCCCCAAAGGGGGTCGCGACCCACAGGTTGAGAACCGCTGGTCTAGAGGCTTAGGCAGGACCTGCAGCCCCATGTGGTCTGCCCGCCCCCTGTCGCACCAAGCCCCCCGCGACTCCGCGAGGCTGTCCCACCGGCTCTCTCCTCTCCTCCTGCTCCCCCCCTCCTCTGAAGCTGCCGACTCTCCAGCGTGTCCAGCGCCCAGGAAGGTCCCACACTGACGGCCTTTCCTGGACGCTCAGCGCGGTCACACGGGCCGCAGCGCCGTCTGCCAGGAGGAGCTCGCTCCTCCGCCGTGCGTGGCTCATAAGAAGGAATTAAACGTAGATCATTGTGATCATTGTGATCAAGTTCATTTAATTTAAAATTTAATTGTTATTTAATCCAATGTTTCTCCTGAGGGCGCTACAATTTAAAAAGTAGGACATGCAGGCCTGTCTCGGTCCCGCAGCAGCTCCAGCTCTAGATGCGCCGGGCACAGGCGGGGCCAAGTCCCCTCCAGGGCCGAGCCTGTGGGACACCCACCCGGCTCTGCGGGGGCCGTGCGCGGTCTCCTGGCCGGCCCTGGGCGCCGGGGGGGGGGGGGGGGGGGGGGGGGCGGGGCGGGGGGCGCGGATGCCCTGGGCGGGGCGTCTCCAGCCCGAGGGCGGAGCGGTGTCGCCTCCTCCCTCCACGTGAGCCGCTCCCACCGGAGCCAGTCCCGGCCTAGCAGCGGCTTCCGCGGGCCAGGACCTGCGCAGGGAGGGGGAGCTGTTCACCCGGCCGCCCATCAGAGGCCTCGGAGCAGAACCCCGACAGGACCCCTGGTCCCCCCAGGGCCCCCGGTCAGTGGGAAGAGCGCCCCGGAGAGGAGCAGGGGAGGACAGGACGCGGCCGGCGGGCGCCTGGGAAGGGAGTCCCGCTGCGGAGGCTCCGCGGGTGCGCCCGTCAGTGCTGGGAGGGGACGACACAGTCCCCCCCGGCCCCCTCCCCACACAGCAGCCGAAGGGCGACCAAGCGGTGGCTGCCCCCCTCCCCCGAGGTGCCAGACAGGCTTAAACATGGAGCGGGCAGGGGCCCTCCAGCTCAGTTCCTGGGACTTGGAGTCAGAGAGCCGGCGCCCTGCCCGCAGGCGGCGCGGCTGCCGGTGCCTGGACGGTGGATCCGGTCCCAGTGTCGGGGCTGCTGGCGGTGCGGCCTTCCTGGTGGTTCCCTGCCTGAGCGCAGGGTCCTGTCAGTCAGCGCGGCTCTGCCCTCTCCTGGGGTGCCTCCCGCCTGGGGCCCTCCACCGCCTCCAGCCCAGCCTGGCACATTCCGGGCAGCCTGCTCCCTGGGCCCCCTGCCCTGGTTCTGGGCTCCACGGTGGTGCCCGAGGGCACCTCCCCTGCGCTGGCCGTCTCCGCTGTCGTGGCCCCTTCGTGCCAGACTGAGCAAGACAGACAGATTCATCCCGCCCCAGGAGAGCCCGTCCCAGACTAGAGGGGAGCTGGTCAGCAGACAAGAACCTAAAAATACCAGGCCTGTCAGAGTGAGAAGCAGCATTTATTGGGATCAATAAGAAGAGCTGTTGGAGGCGTCTGATTCAGGCCGAATCCCAGTGAGGCTCTGGTGAGGACAGAGGCGGGTGAGGGAGGGGCCTGCCCCGCGGGAGGAGGGCGTTTCTGTCCGTGCAGCTCACACAGCGCAGTGATGCCAAGTCTAAACCACGTTCTCACTTTCTGTCGGGTAGTCATCAGCCCAGTGGTCAGAACTGCTTTCTTGTTATCTTTGCAGTTTTTTTAAAGAATATACTTTTATTGATTTCAGAAAGGAAAGGAGAGGGAGAGATATAGAAACATCAGTGATGAGAGAGAATCATGGATTGGCTGCCTCCTGCACGCCCCACACTGAGGATGGAGCCCGCATCCCAGGCCTGTGCTCTGATGGAAATTGAACTGTGACCTCCTGGTTCATAGGTCAACGCTCAACCCCTGAGCCACGCCAGCCGGGCTTCTTTGCATCTTTCGGGAAACAGAGTGGATCAGGCCCAGCCCAAAGGTTATTTTGTGGTTTTGAACCTCTGAGGTTTGAGCACAGGTTTGAGCACGGAGGTGCGAGCCGCCCCCCGGCCTGGCAGCTCTGCCACCTGCACGGCGGCTGTTAACATGCCCGCGAACCAAGTAAGCGTGAAGAGCACACAGCAAGGCGAGGGGAGAGTGATGGGTGAGCGGTGGTCAAGGGCCTCTGTGCGGAGGTAGCAGCTGAGCAGGAGAGCATCCCGGGCACTGAGGACGGGGGTGCAAAGGCCCTGGGGCAAGGCTAGCCCGGGCCAAGGCTCAGGGCGAATGGAGTGTGGTGGGCGGGTGGTCGCTGAGGCCCAGCTGGAGTGAGCATTTTGGGGGACCCTCAGACAGGTGCTGGGGGGGGAGTAGCCACAGAGGGTCTGAGAGGGGAGAGGCTGAGCTGACTTAACGAGGCTGCAAGGGCAGCCGCCCGCTCTGGCCCAGCCTGCGGGGCGTTGTGACCGCGAGGCTCTCTCACCAGAGGTCCCAGTTCTCCCCCTGTCAGTCCTGAGGCCCCCGAGCCCAGGCCTGGGACAGGCAGCATCCAGCCCCTGCTGTCCGAGGTGGTGGAGAGCCCGGGACCAGGCGCAGGTCCTGTGCAGCCCTGTGCCTGTGCCCTCAGCCTCAGGCGGGGAGACAGCCCGCCATGGGGGCGAGCGCAGGGGCGAGCGCAGGGCGGGCGGCCGGGACGCGTCATGGGTTGTATCACTGTCCCGGGCCTGCGGCCGGAGCAGGTGCTTTGTGAATGTCCATCGATCTGCACACTGGCCTCCGGCCGTGGTGCCCGGACGCCCCCTGTGAGAGCGAGGGCTCCAGGCAACTGAGCCTGTTCCCAGCTCCTAACACTGCGGGGAGGGCCCTGCCCACTCCAGCGCCTTCTCCCCTTCTCCGTGGCCAGTGCTCGGCCAGGAGCTACCTGGGAAACGGTAAAGTGCCCTTTAACCCTGTAGAGGGCGTTGCAAACTGGAAGTTACTTTGTAAATTGTTTTGTAAACAGCCTTGAGCTTTGCAAACCACGAAGTTGTTTGAAACGTTAAGGCTCTCTGTAAACGGCAGGAGAGGGCTGTGCCGGCAGTGTCTGTGGGGAACCAGACCCCCGACCTGTCACCCTGCTTCAGCAGAGCTCCCAGCAGGGCCTGTGCACAGAGGGGGGGAAGGGGCAGCCAGGACGTGCACAGGCAGCCAGGGCTGAGGTGCAAGGGCAAAGCCCCAGACTCTACCCCCTGGATCCCCACCAGGAACCTGGGAAGGTGGTGGTGGGAGGGGCGAGGGAGGTAAGAGTTGGCCATGGGGTGTTCGGAGGCCTTGTGGGCAGGGCTCTGGGGACCCGGGGATCCCAGTCGGCGTCTGGTGTCTCCTGGTGGCTGCAGGACTGGGACGCGCCCTGGGGTTCGGTGGTCTGCCCTGGGCATGCGGGTGGGACGACACACACACAGGGTTTTAGACTCACTCACGCCTTCCTGCTTTGCTGTATGTTTTATTCATTAACAAAGGCTGAGCGAGCACAGTGGCAGTCAGATCTACTCGGATGAAGCCTGGCTGGACCAGGGGAGAGGCAGGCCTGGGGGAAGGGGTCCCAGGCGGGGGGTACAGTCTATGCAAAGACCCCAAGGTGAGAACAGCCTTCATCATGGAGGGAGGCTGGGAGGGAGCGGCACAGACGTGCCTTCAAGTGTTCAGTGTGTGCCAGGGAAGGGTTAGTGGGCAGAGGGCTGTCCTGGACTGGAGGCTCTTTGGCACCATGTTGTGCTGAGGACAGGTGGGGGCCTGAGGACAGGGGCGCTGGGGTAGAGGAGAGAGGACCCCAGAGAAGATGCCCTGAGTTCCCCTGGAGGACTAGGGAGGCACACTGTCAACCCTGAGATGTGGGTGGGCTGATCCTCCTGGCTGATGACTTGGGGGGTGGGGTGGGGGGGAGATGTGACCCCTTCCCGCCCAACAAGCCAGACCTGGGGCTGCAGTTGGAGTCTGAGCCCCTTTGCTAAACTGGGAGGAGCCCTTGGGTCCTGCCTTGTCCCCACGAAGGGTGTGGACCGAGAAAAAGCAGCTAAGGCGGACACGAGCGCTACAGGGACCAACCCGCTCCTGCCCGACTGCCTGAGCCGCACACAGCTGTGCTCACGTGAGCAGTCACTCCTGCTGCTGACAGCGGTGACGGCAGTTCCCGCCCAGCCCAGACCCGAGGACCACAGGTCAGGCTGGACCTTGGCAATGCCGCCTTCCTCGAGCTCCCCTCCAAGGGTACACGGCCTGGCTCCAAGCTGCTTCTCACCATTACCAGCTGGGTGCTTGGGGCGCGTCACTTCAGCTCTCTGGGCCTGTTTCTCAGAAACTGGGACAACATCGTAGCCCAAGACAACATCTCACCTCAGTTAGTGGACAGCATCCAGGGGAGGGCGTCGCAGAGCGCTCTCCCACGGCCAGCGGTCAGGCCTGTGTCTGCTGCTCCGCCCAGCACCCAGCACAGGACCGGCCCCTCAGCACCGCCCCGGGGCCCTGGTGCAACCCCTCCCCCGACCACACAGCCCGGCCCCACCCCAGGGCAGGGGTCCTCCCAGTGGCCACAGGCACCCCGAGGCGTGGGCTCGTCACGGGGACAGTCTCACGCCGCCTTCGGACCCACTTTTTTTTTTATTAAAACAGCAAACAGGTAACTGCCCCCACCCATCAGGGACAGAACCCAGGACAGGTAGTCCTTTCTTAAAAAAAAAAGCATATATGTATATGTGTGTACACACACCCACACACACACACACATTATGAAAAGCTAATCTACAGCCTGCCAGGCCAGCCCCTAGGAGTGTCTCTGAGCAGAGACTGGAGGCCAGCCTCCTAGAGCCACCCGAGCAGAGGTGAGCCTTGGCTGCTGGCCCGGGGGGCCGAGAGCGTATGTGGCTCCACACCGTGCAAAACAACAACAGCAATAAAACCCAGCCAAACCCACAAAGCAACAGGGAAAAAGAGGATAAATTAAAAAAAAAAAAGTGAAACGACACCCCTAGTAGATGTGATAGGAGGGGCTGGGCCACGGGGTCCCGGGGGGGCCTGCGTGCCGCGCCCGGCGAGGGCTCCAGCAGCTGGGTCTCCCTCGGGGCTCGAGGTCCACGTGGCTCACCCGTCCGCACCCCACACCACCCAGCAGAGTCCTGAGCCAAAGTGTGCAAAGTCCATTCAGTCAAGAAGTAGAAAAATATACAACTTGAAGGCATCTGGGCGGGGCCAGGCAGTGCACAGGTGCCGGCTGCCTTCTCTGTGAGGGGCGGCAACATCTGGGGGCATCCAGGTCCCCACAAGTCCAGGGTCTTGGGGGCTAAAGACTTGGGGTCCTTGAAGCAGCAGGACAGAGGCACTGGTAGGCCCATGAGGGCCGCAGGGAGCCCTGACAGTCTGGTTCTTTGGCACTTGGGACCAGCCCCTCGAGTCCTCCCAGGATGCCCACGGCCAGTGGCAGTAGCTTAAGGGTGTGGGCAAGCATCGCCCCGTGGAGGGCTCTGGGCTGGGGGCCCCTCTACGAGTCCTCTCCCAGGATCTTCTTCACAAAAGCAGCGATGTCTGTCTTCTTGGTCTTGTGTAAGGTGAAGAAAGGGTGCTCCTGGGGGAGGCAGGACAAGGCGTGAGGAGAGGTGCTCCCGCCGCGCCCCCCCACCCCCGCAGCCCAGGCCTGGTGTGCTTCCTGCGGGCAGACTCCCACGCATCCTCCTAGGACTCGCCCCAGAAAGCCCTCCCGGTTAGGACAGCAGTCACTGCCTCCTGGGCCCCCCACTAGCCATCCACGGGCTACAGCACATTCAACGGGGAATGCCCGCTCCATCATAGGTAAGTCCTTATTCATCCTTCCAGGCCCAGTTCAAATGTCACCTCCTCTAAGAAGCCTTCCCTAATGCCTTCAGATAAAACAGCCCACCTGCCTCCCCACCCCGCCCCTGTGGCCCTGCGTGGGCTACCGGAATGAATGACTGCAGGGCCAGCCCAAGGAGCTGCTCACCTGTGCGTGGAGACACAGCCCCCTCCCTCCCTAGAGAGCCACCCAGCGCTGCCCCCACCACTCACCATCAGCTCCAGGTAGCTCATGCGCTCCGCGGGGTTCTTCCTCAAACTAGGAGAGAGCAGGGCAGGCTGGGGTCAGGCTGGCCTGGAGGAGGGGGTCCAGCCCCCCAGGCCAGCCAAGTCCCTGAGCCTGGGCAGCGAGGGGACACATGCTCCGGGCTCAGGGAAGAAGGAGCGGACTGTTCCGGGAGCTCCTGAGGATGGAGGGGACCCACAGGTGCAGACTCAGACTCAGGGCAAGTTCTCTGCCTCTGGGGGTGCTAGTTCTCTGCCTCTGGGGTTTAGCTTTCTTGTCTCTCTAGCAATCTAGGAAATTTCCAGTGAACCTCCTATTGAAATGATACCAAAATGCTGCCATTAGCACTCATATCCGTGGTGTCCTTCGTCAGGAGGGAAATTCCTTATCACAGGTCCCGGGAGAGGGAGCCCTGAGTGCAAGGAGTCAAGGGGATGGTGGCTGTTTGTAGAGCCTTTGTCTTCAGTCTTATTTTCTAACACGAGAAGTAAAGGCTGTGAGTTTCCCTCTGTCTCTTTACTCATAACACACAGAGACTAACGTCATTTTCTTACTCTTTCACTTCTGAACAGCTTGTAACTTCATTTTTCAAACGTTTTCATAAGCCAAGAGTAAGCCAGAATTCACCTGAATCTCCACGCAGCTCTCCCGTAGTTGGGACGCGTTCTACCTCCTTGTGGGCAGACCACGGCCGCGGCCTGCCTGCGCCTCTCCCGTCTCCGTTCCCAAGCACTATTTCATAAGGCTCCTGCGGGCACCTTAGCTTGTGGAGTTCCAACACCAGTAACCTGCCTTTCTTCGTGCTACTCCAGCCTGAAAAGCTCTGCTTTCTCTCGGCCTTCCTTGCTCTGTCCGTGTCGGAAGGCCAATGGCAGGCTTCCCGGCGCAGCGCTGCCTCTGGGTTTGGATGTGGCGCTGCTGGGGGCTATGTGCTGAGGGAGAAGGTGCCGGGCGGGCGGCCGCTGCCGGCCAGGGCGCCCCACTCACCACTGGGCAGTGAAGTCCACAAACTCCGGAGAGAAGCGGTCAGCCGGAAGCTGAGGGGACGGCTCCTCCACCACCTGCTTCAGCTGCTGGAAGGGGGTCCCCCAGGACTCGTAGGGGAACCGCAGGATGGCCATCTCGATCTGCAGGGAGGACGGGGTGCTGTCACCGCATCAGCCACAGGACAGGTGGCCAGGGCCGCGAGGCCGGTCAGGGCTGACCCATGACACCAGGTCAAAGGTGAAAGCCAGGTGGACCCAGCAGCTGCGGTTCCGACCACCCAGCAGCAATGACGGCTCGTGGAGGAGGGCCTGCTGAGCGTGACTAGCTGACCATCCTCAGATATTCAAACAACCTGAATTCAGACGGTTTCACATAAAAACCCAGGTTCCGGCTAATCTAAAAACCCACAGAGCTGCAGCCGAGTCACCTGTCCCTGAGGCAGCAGCAGGCACAGGATGCGGACGGCAGCAGCTCGCTGGTCACAGGTCACTGCCCCCCAAACATCTCCCTCACGGCTCCCTAATGTCCCCCTAACACCTCCGCCGGATCTGAGCAGCTGCTGCTACAGAGGCGGCAGGTGGAAGCGAAAGACGCTCTTACCCATCTCCCCAAGGCCCTAGAGGAGATATCGGACCCCGAGGCCCACACTCAATCGCTCCTTCCCAGCAACACCTGCTCCAGGCCCGTCGGGTATGGAGTCTGCAGCCCCTCCTCCTCCATCACCCCCACGACCCGCCCCACGCCCTGCAAGACCCATTCCCAGCCTCCTCCTCCATCACCCCCACACACCCCTCCCCCCTTACAAGACCCATTCCCAGCCTCCTCCTCCATCACCCCCACACACCCCTCCCCCCCCACAAGACCCATTCCCAGCCTCCTCCTCCATCGCCCCCACACACCCCTCCCCCGCTACAAGACCCATTCCCAGCCTCCTCCTCCATCACCCCCACACACCCCTCCCCCCCTGCAAGGCCCATTCCCAGCCTCCTCCTCCAGAAACCTTCTCCTCTCCCCATCGTGGGTTCTCCCTGATCCCCTGGATGTATGGCCGCGGAAGGTCTGTACATCCTGCTGGGCGTGGACCTAGGCTCCCTGCACATGGCTTTGGGGCCCGCTCTGCACCCAGGCCAGCCCCTCACTCACACCTCGCTGCCTTGGCAGGAAGTCACTGTAGAACACACTGGCTAGCTTATGACCAACTCTGAGCTCAATTTTCACTGCCGAAGTGAAAACAAATCAGGTCCACACAGGCCCCGCCTGAAACTGCACAGTCGTCAGGCCGCAACTCAAACACACGCTCATGCTGGCAGCCGGCACCCAACAGCTCGCCACCTGCTGTGCTAAGAAAGAGCCTTCCCGTGAGGCTGATGGCCCCTTTCCAGCCGAGACACACCCCGAGACAAGGCTATGCACAGCGCAATGGGCGTGGGTGTGGTTCTGTGTGTGTGTGTGTGTGAGTGTGTATGAGTGTGAGTGTGTGAGTGTGTGTATGAGTGTGTGTGAGTGTGTGTGTATGAGAGTGTGTGTATAAGTATGTGTGTGAGAGTGTGTGTATGAGTGTGTGTGAGTGTGTGTGAGTGTGTGTGTATGAGTGTGTGTGTATAAGTATGTGTGTGAGTGTGTGTATGAGTGTGTTTGTGTGTGTGAGTGTGAGTGTGTGTGTGTGTGTGTGTGTGTGTGTGTTCACAGGACAAACTCAGGCCGTGCTCCTAAAATGTCTACTGAGTCCAATAAGCAGCAGCGAGGCCGTGCATGGGCTGCCAGAGAAGGGCCCAGAGGCCACCCAGAGCTGATCATCAGAAACACGGAAACACGTCCAACCCCGGCCGGCCCTCCCTTCCTGGGCCTCCTCTCTGAGGAGCTCAACAAACTGGAAAACAAACAAAGCCAAGCCTTGAGCACAGAGGAGCATGAGCACAGAGGAGTGTGAGCACAGAGGAGCGTGAGCACTGCAGGACCAGTGTCCGCCTCTGGCCTGTGGGTGAGCACAGAGGACCAGTGTCCGCCTCTGGCCTGTGGGTGAGCACAGAGGACCAGTGCCCGCCTCTGGCCTGTGGGTGAGCACAGAGGACCAGTGCCCGCCTCTGGCCTGTGGGTGAGCACTGCAGGGCCAGTGCCCGCCTCTGGCCTGTGGGTGAGCACAGAGGACCAGTGTCCGCCTCTGGCCTGTGGGTGCTCCTCTCCACCTCAAACAGGAAACCGTTTACTTGGTGGCGTAGGTCAGGGCTTGAGCATCGACCTATGAACCAGGAGGTCAGGGTTCAATCCCCGGTCAGGGCACATGCCTGGGTTGTGGGCTCGATCTCCAGGGTGGGGGTGTGCAGGAGGCAGCCAATCAATGATTCTCTCTCATCATGGGTGTTTCTCTATCTCCCTCTTCCTTCCTCTCTGAAATCAATAAAAATATTTTTTTAAAGAGTTTAACTGTAGCATTAAGAAACATTGAAGGTGTCACCAGTTCCTCCATTTTGTCTGACAAAATGACTGATTCTCAGTCACTGTGAACAGACACAGGTTATAAAATTACAATCATACAGTGATGAGGAGGGTTATGGCAACTACAGCACCAGTAAAATCTAAGACCTCCAATGATCCTGACACTTCTCTAGCCTCCCCAACCCTGGCCCCAGGCTCACCCCCAGGGAGGGGTCAATGTCACTGAGGGCACTCCCTTCATTATACCGTCATTTGGGGCACGTTTCAGAGTGACGCCAACACTTTCTCCGGGGCCTGAACTATTTGACGACCCCCAAAACGCTCCCTGACCGTGTGCCCCTGCCTGGCCCCCACCAGCCCCAGGCCCAGCCCAGGTACCATAGTGATGCCGAGGCTCCAGACGTCGGACTTCACGTTGTAGCCCTTCTGGTTCAGCTCCGGGTTGATCCTCTCGGGCTGTGAGAAGGACCAGGGAGGCATCAACACCCCTCCATGGGGAGGGGCCCGCACAGGGGTGCCTGAGCCCCTGGCCCCAAACTGAGGGGTCAGTGCTCATCCTACCCCGCCTCCCGGGGACAGATGAGGAAACTGAGGCCAGGGAGGGTCAGGGTCATATGGTGGAAGCCTAACCCTTGCCTCAAAGGTGCCCCGATGGGGCCTGAGAAGAGCACCTTCAGGACACTGGCGGGGGGGCCTGCACAGACCCCCTGAGCTACCTCCGCGTGGGGGTCCATAAAATCTGTCCTCCAAATGGGTGCTCCAGGGCAGGACTGCTAACCAGAGGGACAGGCCCTGGGCGGGCTGGGTGGCAGCGCCACCTCTGAGGGGCAGAGGACCCTCCATGTGGTCCCGGAGTGGGGGTCAGGGATACTCACGGCCATGTAGGGCTTGCAGCCGGCGTCCATCGTCTTGGCCACAGAATCTACCAAGTAGCCGCTGATCCCAAAGTCACACATCTTCACGTGGCCCTCCTTGTTGATGAGGACGTTCGAAGGCTTTACATCTGCAGGAACAGAAGAGCTGCTCAGCCCAGGTGCCCCCCACACCCCAGCCACTTAGGCAGACCCTGCAGGGCCAGGGAGCGGGTGAGGGACCGAGGCTCCAGGAGGCTCTGCCCGAGCCCCAGGCCACAGCTGGGGACGACCAGTGAGGATGCACTCCAGCCACTGGCTTCGCTGCCGCCCCCAACGGCGTCCAGTGCCGTCCTCAGCCTGTGGACAGGAGGCTTCTCCTGGCTATGCAGCCGCACCCTTCCCAGCTCAGCCTCTAGTTCTGATGTCTTCTCAGGCTGGGGTGCGGGAGTCACCACTGAGGGTGAGGCCCGGAAACCACCCGAGTGTCCACGCCCAAGAGCCAGCAGGTTCACGGAGGCTCAGGGCAGCAGCTAACACAACAGGGGCGGGTCTGCAGGCGAACACGGAGCCCCCCCCCAGTCCGGAGCAGGCTGCACAGCGGGCAATCTCAGCAAACGCACCCCCTGCTCCCCATGAGCTGCCTCCAGGACCTGGGTGGAATAGAAACGCCCAGAGAAAGGTCTGGCAGGTTCCATGCTGACCTGTCAGCAGGGCTGAGCTGCGGTGGGGAAGGCCACAGAGGGGCCAAAGGGCTTAGTCTAGTTAACTCTGTAAGAAGCAGCACATCCTGGTAAGAGAACCACCAAGAATAATGAGCAGGAAGGAACTTCAGCCTGCACAGCCTGGGGAGCTCAGAAACATGAGGCCAAGGGAAGGAGGCTGGACAGAGGCACGGCGTGGAGGCAATGGACATGAAGTTCAAGAACAAGACAAACCAGTCAATGTTGGGGGGCGGGGTCAGACGAGGAGCATTGGGGGATGTGGGGTGCAGGGGACCAGCCAGAAAGGGCCAAGGGAACTTTCCAGGATGGAGGGGAGGGGGAAGCATCCTGTATCTTCCTAGGGTGGGGGTTACATGCTGTAAACTCTGAACCAGTGGTTCTCAACCTTCCTGATGCCGCGAACGCTTAATACAGTTCCTCATGTTGTGGTGACCCCCAACCATAAAGTTATTTTCGTTGCTACTTCATAACTGTAATGTTGCTACTGTTATGAATCGTAATGTAAATATCTGATATGCAGGATGTATTTTCAGGGGTCGCGACCCACAGGTTGAGTACCACTGCCAGACTCATGGAAGAGTAGCTACAGAGCAATATGCAAACAATAGGTCCAGACAAAGCCAGTCAGCTGCTGGCAGCCCGGCAGCCCGCCTAGTCCTGGCTCGGAGCTCAGCAAACCTGGAGGGTGGGGCGAGGTGGATCACCCAAGCGGCTGGGACTGGCTCTGGGTGGAGACCGAGGAAAATGGCTGGAGACGTGCAGCAGCCTAGCCGGGGAGAGCCTCAGCCATTAATCCAGCACGCACAGCCCTGCGTATCCCTCCCTGAGCTCAGCAGGCTCCTCTTGGAAAGGGAGAGGATCCCCGCCTCGCAGGACGGGCTGAGACCATGCATGGGGGTGGCCTGGGGCCTCCCTGGCAGCCGCAGCGGGCACTGACCTCTGTGAATGACGGAGAGCTTGCTGTGCAGGTGCTCCAGGGCCCTCACTACCTGTGCGCAGGACAGAGAACAGAGTGATGCCAGGACAGCGCAGTAACCCCACCCACCCGTGCCCACCCGTCTCCCTTACTCACACACCCAGCCCCCATCAGCCCAGGCTCCTGCCCACATCCGACCTTTGCCCTAGACACCTGGCCTCCTGCTTTTCTCCCACCAGCCAAGTGGGCAGGGTCTTGGGCCCACACGTTCACCAGGAAATGATGTACTGGAAACCACTGCAGAAATCTGGGCCCATGACCCCCAAGGGGCCATGGCCACTCCCTGCCAGGCTCTTGGGTGAAACCCAGCCTGGGCAGCCTCCCGGCTCCTCCCTCCCCGGCAGAGCTCTTCCCCCCGGCGCCCGGCTGGGCACGATCAGTCCCAGATGCCGCCAGAAGCACACGGCACAGCCCGACCCATTTCCCTGTCTGCTCCGCTGCCCGGACGCGGGAGCCAGTGCTGCTACCGCCTCGAGCAATGCTCACCCTCAAAAGCTGGGGGCTGGGGAAGAGGTGAGGGATGGAGCAGGAGAGAAAAGACTGAGAGACAGACAGCCTGTGGTGAAGGCCAGAGGGAGGGGTGGGAGTAGAAGAGGGGGAAGGGGGAATAAGTGGTGAAGGAGACTTCACTTGGGGTGGTGAACACACAACACAATCTACAGAAGATGGGCTGCAGAACTGTATACCTGAAACCTATATAACTTTATTAACTAACATCACCCTAATAAACTCAATACAAATGAACAAGTAAGTAAACAGATAAATGGGGGGAGGGGCAAACTTCTGGATGCGACCCTTTCTCCCCTTCTCCCTGCTTAGCGCACCTCCCTGAGCCGCCTCGGGCCTGTCAGCTGAGGAAGCTGTGAACACTAAGTCCGTTTAAAATGCCCAGGAGCCTGGGCATTGCACACAGGGCCTAGGGGCCCTGGAGCTGCCAGATCTGTGTGTCTCTAGGAGCCCAAGGCTGAGGGTTTCCTCAGCAAAGGCTCTGGCCCAGAGTGGAGGCACTGGGCCCCTGTGGGCAGGTGCCCAGGTTCAGGGCCACACTGGGGCCCAGCTCAGCCCAAGACACCACCATCAGACTGGGCTTTGTGCCTGCTGGGCCGGGCCAGGGCCTCTGGCTATGGACCTGGAACTCCCAGCCTGCCCCCCCACCCCCTGCCCCACCCCTGAGGCCACTTACAGACACAGCAATCTCCCCCAGAATGTCCTCGGGGATCGTCATGCCTTTCTCAAGCACCTTCCGGTAGAACTTGTCCAGGGACGTGTCCATGAGCTCCATGCAGATCCACACGTCTCCCTGGGGTGGGAGGGGGGGCGTCCAGAGGTCAGCTCAGGCCCGGGGCTGCCCTGAGCCAGGCCTCTGGCTGATACACCTGTCTCTCCCCCAGCCCCCCCCCCCCCCCTCCTCCTCCTCCTCCTCCTCCTCCTCCTCCTCCTGCCATCCTGCCTCCCAAAGCCTCCTGACCTGTCCACTTCTCCGCCTTCCTGGCTGCATAACAGCCTCCCCCCCTACCCCCCACCCTCCCCACCCCCGTCACCTCTGGGCTCCCCTATCGGATCCCTAAGTCCACGGTGATTTCCAGGAAGAAGTGACTAAAACACTGGGTCCCTCCAACAGCCACTTCCGCAACCTGGCCATGACCCAGCTCCACAAAGTCTCCAGCTTCAGCCCTGGTGGCCCTATCACACAGGGACCCAACTCTGACCCTGACAGACAGGTCCCTCCTCCCCACGATGCCTGCCTCCCCCGCCTCTGCACCTTTCAGGACAGCCTTCTCCTCGGGTACCCACAGGCTCCTGGGCCCCCTGCCAGCTCTGACCTAGCACACAGGGGGCTCCGAGCGGCACGGGGATGGAGCCTGGCCTGGCACACAATGGGTCTGGACACTCAACAAGCTCAGGGACCCACTCGGTGCTCAGAGTGAGGCTGGGCCAGGAGCCTGACCTCCCCTAAACCAGGTGGCAACCACCACTGCGAACAATAGCTCCCAACCTGGCTCCTGCTCTGTCCACACTCCATGGCCAACACCCCAGCAGGAGCCCATCCTCCCAGCTCCAAGGCCACACCCTGCTTCACCCAGTCCCTGTCCACATCCACCCCCTACACATCCCCACAGCTGCCCTGCCCGGAGCCCACCCTACAGCCAGGATGCTGCTCAGGCTGGTGGTCACACCACCTGGTGGCACATGCACTGAACGCCGGGCCCCCCCCACACTATTTCATCATGACAACCTCGTGAGGTGGGTACGATTATTGGTCTCATTTCATAGACAAGAAAACTGAGGCAGGAAGCAAAGAAGACAGGCATCTGGCTCCGAGGCCTGCGCTCTCCAGAGCCCTGCCCTGCTGTCCACAGAGAGGCAGGGCCGGTTCACTCCTGTGCCCAGCGCCCGGCACGCAGGGGCACTCAGCAAGTGTCTGCTGGGGCCCAGAATGACCGAGAGTGGCTTCAGGCTGGGGCCTGGGGGCAAGTGTGTGACAGAGGGAAGGCAGGGTGTCTGAGCTGCTAGCCCCTAGCCTGGCACCCCCCTCCCTCACTCCTGCCAAGGCCCACCTCTCGGAAGAGGGCCCCGTAGAAGGTGACGGTGTAGAAGCAGTCGACCGTGCGCATGTTCACGTCCAAGTCCATGAGCAGGCGTTTCTGCTCCTGGGAGTTCACGGTGGCCCGGATCCGCTGCCAGTGAGAGGGCCGCAGGTCAGGGGCCACGCGGCAGGAGGCAAGCCCCACCATCCTCAGCCCCCACACCTCCTTCAGGCAGCTTCCCAGGTGTCCTGTGGCCCAGTGCTCCCTGGCAGGGCGGGACCCTGATCACCTTCACAGCCATGATGGTGCCGCTCTGGGCGTGCCGCACCTTCTCCACCACCCCATAGGCTCCACGCCCGAGCTCTGAGATGGTCACCAGGTCATCGGCCTCCACCTCAAAGTTCTTAGGGAATAGAAGAGAGAGAAGGTTGGTGGTCAAAAGCCAGGAGCTGGCCCTGCCTCCTTCAGTGGAGACAGCTGGGGCAGCGGGAAGGGAAGACAGCCAGCTGGTCAGGCCTGGATCCAAGTCCTGCACCAGCCTCTCCTGCTGTGCGACCCAGGACAAGTCCTTCCCTCTCTGAGCATCACACCCCCACCTATAGAGCAGGCGCAGCACCAGGACAGTCTGTGAAGGGCCCCCTGCAGGCACAGGGGACTCACGGGAGGCCCTTTCCCTCTTGCTCGCCCAACTCAGAAGGGTAGACTGAATTATTCAATTTGCTGAGTGCCTACTCTGTGCAAGTCCGTTTTAGGCACTGGCAACACAGAGAGAGAAGGCCTTGCTCTCACAGGAAGCAGCGTGGCGTGGGCCATCTGTTCTCTCATGCTCGCCCTCTCTTGCAGGAGGCAGACCCAAAAGAAATAAGCAAGTAGATGAACTGGCCATCAAACAGGGACGAGGTCAGGGAGGAGAAATAAGCCTGAAAGGAGCTGTCTGCAGAGAGAGGCCTCCATAGTGAGGTCTCTGCCTGGAGCCCCCACTGTGTCTCGTGGGTCCAGCAGGGTCCCTGACCAGGACTCGCAGTCCCTGCCCGGCTGTCGGAGGTGCCTGGAGGACTCAGGTTCCAGGCATGCACCCAGGAGTCGGGCAGGGGTCTGCATGCCCCACACAGTCCCCATGGGTGATGTGGGGACAGACTCTGAGGTAAGGAAGCTCAGCAGGGCCCCAGGAGAAGGCCACTGTGCCCTTCCAAAGGGAGTCAGCATGAGGGCTCGGGCCCACAGCACCTCTCCTGGCCCTGGAGGTCAGCTCGGGCCCTAGGGGGTCAGTTCGGGCCCTAGGGGGTCAGCTCTGGCCCTAGGGGGTCAGCTCGGGTCCTAGAGGGTCAGTTTGGGCCCTAGGGGGTCAGCTCGGGCCCTAGGGGGTCAGCTCAGGTCCTAGGGGATCAGCTTGGGCCCTAGGGGTCAGCTCAGGTCCTAGGGGGTCAGCTCAGGTCCTAGGAGGTCAGCTTGGGCCCTAGGGGGTCAGCTCGGGCCCTACGGGGTCAGCTTGGGCCCTATGGGGTCAGCTTGGGCCCCTTTGAGGAAAAGACTGAGCCCAGGCTTCAGCCAGCACCTACCCTGTCTCCAATGGTGATGAAGGTCCGGGAGTCCAGGTTCCTAGGGGGGCTTTAGGGAGAACACAGATCCCATGAGTCTCTGAGAACCACACCCTTCCCAGCAGAAAAGGGGCCAACCTGGGGCCAGAGGCATGTCCATCCCCAGGAGGCAGCGCTCCTCAAGGCCCCTCCTCTCGCCCTGTGCACCTGCTGTGCCAGGTGCCAGGTGCCCCCTCCATCTGAGGTGGGAGAAGAGCACAGTCGGGACCCAGATGCCGCGAGCCCCAGGCCGCAACCGCGCAGAGGGCTCCGCGGGGCTCTGCCGGGCCCACGACCCCTCCATGCCCCGTCCACTGGGGCCCTCCCAGAGACCCCCAGGCTGAGCCCAGGGAGAAACTGAGGCAGACTCACGTGGGGTTGGGCGCGGGCGGCTTGGACACACAGGATATCCGTAAGTCCTTCTTCCTCTTGGCCTTTCCTGAAAGGGAGGAGCGAGGCAGCTGAGACAGTGTCCCAGGCCCAACCTAGCCGTGGGAACTGAGCCTCCCGGATGGACATCCATCAAGCAGAGCTGTCAGCTCCCAGTTGCGATGCCTCCCCCTCCCTGAGCCTCAGTTTCCCCATCTGTCATGTCAGGGGTTGCTGGGGAACGTGGAACAGATGCACACTGGGGAGCCCCTGGCTGCACCAGTGCCCTGTCCTCCTGCCCCTCAGGTTTTGCCTGTGCTGCCCCTCAAAGGGACGCCCCGGAAGCCCAGTCTCCTCATCGGGGTGCCGGGCAGGCCTGAGCCCTGAGGCCACGCCTCTCTCTCTCACCCGGAGAACAGGCGAGGGCTTGGCCTCCTGCGCCCGCCCCCAGCGATGATGTCCCTGCCTCTAGGAACAGCCGAGTGTGGCCGGGTACTGGGCAGGGGGTCGTGTGATGCTCAGAGACTCCTCCTTGGGTACCGTGGGGGGGGGGGGGGGGGGCACGGCAGAGGGCACCTCCTTAGGCCCCCTTTTCAGAGGCGCAGGAAACAAGGTGGGGACCTCAGGGAGCCTGTAGGTGAGGAGCCAGGGAGCCTGTAGGTGAGGAGCCAGGCAGCCTGGGACCACAGCCCTCGCTCCCAGCACCCAGACCAGGGCTATGGTTCCAGAGAAGGGAGGGGCCTTGCCCAGGTCACTGAGCGCCTGGGTGGCCGAGCAAGGACAAGACCATGACTTCCTGAAGCTCCCACGCGCCCCTCACAGCCCTGCACCTGCTCTGCCCCCACCCGCCCCTCACAGCCCTGCACCTGCTCTGCCCGCACCTGCTCCTCACAGCCCTGCACCTGCTCTGCCCCCACCTGCCCCTCACAGCCCTGCACCTGCTCTGCCCCCACCCACCCCTCACAGCCCTGCACCTGCTCTGCCCCCACCCACCCCTCACAGCCCTGCACCTGCTCTGCCCCCACCCGCCCCTCACAGCCCTGCACCTGCTCTGCCCCCACCTGCCCCTCACAGCCCTGCACCTGCTCTGCCCCCACCTGCCCCTCACAGCCCTGCACCTGCTCTGCCCCCACCCGCCTGGCACAGCCCTGCACCTGCTCTGCCCCCACCCGCCCGGCACAGCTACCTCCGACACTGGCCCAGGAAACCTGGAACCACCCAGCTCTGTGCCACCTGCCGGGTACGTGGAGCACCGAGCCCCTCTGAGCCAGGTTCCGCTCCCAACTCCGCCATGTCCCACATGTGGCCTCAGCGCCTCCCCGAGACCCCAGCTCGGGGCTCCGTGCTCAGGCCCCCAGCCAGGCCCCCTGGCCACCCTGCCAGTGACGGGATGGGGTTGTTATTGCCGCTGGGAAGACGAGGCCGGCCCAGCTGTCCTCAGGCTTCTGTATCAGTAGGAAACAGAACAGCCCATGGAGATGGGCCTCATGTCTGTGCTGTTGTCGGGGGGGCAAAGCACAGCAGTCTCCACAGAAGCCGCCTCAGGGACCCCCAGGTACCAGGCCAAGTTCAGACCCCACCTTCGCCCCTACAGGGTGGTGACCTCAGTGTCCTCCTCCATCCACAGGGACGCACACAGCACACACTCAGCCTCCATCAGCGCCACTGCCCGTCCAGCCTGGCCCAGCAGCCTCGGGCACATGTTTCCATACACAGCAATGGCAGTGGCACAGCTGTATTCCCAGGCGCTGCCAGCTGCTCCCCTGGCCCTGGGTGCACCAGGCACCTAGGCACGACCTCACATCTGAGGTGCCTTCACCCCACTGCACAGAGAGGCGAGGTGGATGGGTGTCAGGGGCTGAGTGGATCTCCAAAGCTTTCATCCATCCAAGGAGCCTGCCAGTCACGTGTGTGGCCCCACCGCCCCCAAAGGGAGGAAATCGTAGCCCACTTTATTTGGGGAAACTGAGGCTCCAAGGTGAAATCCCTGCAGTGAGTCGGGGGTCTGTCTAGGAGGCACTCCTGGACTTGCTGACTCAGAGACACAAGCAGCCCAGCCAGCGGCTCACAGTGCCTCCTACAGGGAGTTTCGCAGAGGGACAGGCCCATCACACCAGCGTTGCCAGTGTTGCCTTTGGTGTGTGGCAGACTGAGGCTGAGACCAAAGCGAGACCCTCCTCTCTGCACCTCAGTCTGAATTTGCAGAGAGGACCTCAGGGACATGCCCAGCACCCAGCACAGGGCCTCCTCTTGGGCCCGGGCAGGGGGTGGGCACACAGCACGGGGTCTCCTCTTGGGCCTGGGCAGTGGGTGGGCACACAGCACGGGGTCTCCTCTTGGGCCCGGGCAAGGGGTGGGCACACAGCACTGGGTCTTCTCTTGGGCCCGGGCAGGGGGTGGGCACACAGCACTGGGTCTTCTCTTGGGCCCGGGCAGGGGGTGGGCACACAGCACGGGGTCTCCTCTTGGGCCGGGGCAGGGGGTGGGCACACAGCACGGGGTCTCCTCTTGGGCCTGGGCAGTGGGTGGGCACACAGCACTGGGTCTCCTCTTGGGCCTGGGCAGTGGGTGGGCACACAGCACGGGGTCTCCTCTTGGGCCCGGGCAGGGGGTGGGCACACAGCACGGGGTCTCCTCTTGGGCCTGGGCAGTGGGTGGGCACACAGCACGGGGTCTCCTCTTGGGCCCGGGCAGGGGGTGGGCACACAGCACTGGGTCTTCTCTTGGGCCCGGGCAAGGGGTGGGCACACAGCACGGGGTCTCCTCTTGGGCCCGGGCAGGGGGTGGGCACACAGCACGGGGTCTCCTCTTGGGCCCGGGCAAGGGGTGGGCACACAGCACGGGGTCTCCTCTTGGGCCCGGGCAGGGGGTGGGCACACAGCACGGGGTCTCCTCTTGGGCCCGGGCAGGGGGTGGGCACACAGTACGGGGTCTTCTCTTGGGCCCGGGCAGGGGGTGGGCACACAGCACGGGGTCTCCTCTTGGGCCCGGGCAGGGGGTGGGCACACAGCACAGGGTTTCCTCTTGGGCCTGGGTACAGGGTGGGCACACAGGACGGGGTCCGTCAGAGACCAGACACGGCCGCCGGGGTAGAGGCCGCTCCACAGAGGGCACATTTCGTCCTAAGTGATGAGAATCCGTGGAGCCTTGTATTCTTGACTTGAGGCGTTTGTAATTAGAAGTCAGACATTTCATGTTTAAAGTGAATAACCAACATGGCCTGCCGGGGCCTCTCCACAGCGCCTCTCCTGCCTTCCTCGGCTCCGCCTGTGCGCCTGCCTCCCGCCCCAGGACAAGAATGTCCTAAGATGGGCACGGGTTCCCTATGTATCGGGAGCTTGCACACCTGGGCCAGGCCAGGGCGTGAGGAGCACGTGGGGCACAGGCACTCGGTGAAGGAGCCTCACGTCTGCTTCCCTCCGGCCCTGGGGGACAGAGGTGCTGCGAGCACACGGACGGGGCGGAGGGGAGGGGCATGGTCGGCCCTCAGGCTCACCAGGCTGCATCTGGGGTGACAAGGTCTCCCTGGGGCTTGGCCACCTGTGGGAAGGAGACGGCCCAGAAGCAGGCCACCGGCCACCAGCTGCGGCCACTCTTCGCCATGGACGTCAGCACCGGGCCCAGATGGCCAGGGCTGCCCAGGTGCGAGGTGACTGTGGCAACCGTCGCCACCACAAACAGAGTGTCCTAGGCCACCACAAACACAACCAGCACGCCAGCCTCAGCGGGCACAGCGCCAGGCTGTGCCTCGGCCTGCACCGCCTCCCAGCAGGCCCACAGGCCGGGGACAAGAACTCAGCCATGGCCTGCAACACCCGGACGTAAAGAGAGGCGCCTGGACTCAGACACAGCTCCCGCCATCTTGCAGCCCTGCCGTCATCTCCTTCCACTCACCGTCTCTGGAAGAAGCCACCCCCTCCCCCAGCTCAGGGCCTCTGCACATTCTGTTCCCTCTGCCTAGAATGTTCTCCCCGACCCTCACCTGCACCTGCTCAGAGGCTCTCCTCGGGCTCCCGCTAGGCCCCTGACTGATGGCTCCCTGGCATCCAGCTGGCCTCTCTCCTGTCGCTTCCGCAAGTCTCCTTCACAGCCGCTATGAGAGGCAGCTGGAGCCCCGCAGCCACGCCCCGGCGAGGGCTGCCCCTCCATGTGCCATGCGGTGACAGACCGGCCTCCCAGGGCTGAGTGTCCAACGCGGTGATCAGTGCCATGCCTTAGCAGCGCCTGCCGCGTGGCAGATCAGAGGGAACCACCTGGAAACCCCCAGGACCCAAGGTCACGCCAGGCCCCGGCCCCAGAAGGTCAGTGGTAACACTTGCAGCAGCCCCACAGGGAAGGGCTTCCTGTGTCTGTGACCAAAGGGTTCGGAGCGGACGGGTGGACCCCGTCACAGAGGGAGGGTCTGTCGGAGCTGATGGGAAGGCGGGTCTGCTGGCTTCAATGACCAAACATCAACTGAGAGCCTGAGAGGGGCCTTCCCACCCCCACCCCCGCCACCCATCCCCAGGCCTAGGGGGATTCTAACTAAACACATCTGTGCCTCTCTCGAGAGTCAATCCTGGGGGCAGAGGGTGGGCAACCCTCACCATGAACCCTGCCAGGGGCTCCGCTCACAAAGGACCCCCCCACCACATCCCACTCAGTCACATCCAGTCTCCAATGACAAAGGCAATGCTCCCATGTGTATTCTTCCCCTCCTGTGGGAGAGTGAGTGCTCCTCATGACCCCCGACTCCATGGAGAGGTCCTGGGCCCCAGTGTCCATCCCCTCAGGTAAAGGGCCACGCGCTGCCAGGGAGGTGGGGCAGACCAGATGTCCAGAGGCTCCCCATGCTCCTTCCCAACCTCTCTCACTCAGCTGGTCACCTCTATCCGTGGGGGACCCTTAGAGAGAGGTCGCCGAGGCCAACACACTCCCGGGGCACTGGTGGGGAAGTGAGGCCCAAGAAGGGGAGGGCAGGCTCTCAGGGGCTCACTCGACAGCGAGTGCTTACTGGCTTTAACCAGCCACAGCCCATGCCCAGCATGTGACGTTCATTATCTCCACTCACTGCGGTCATCACACCGGCTCCTGGGGGAGGTGCTCGGAGCCCCCGGTGCATGGAGAGGGGAGACACTGAGGCTGGAGCCCCTCCTACGGCATCCCTCCCTCAGCGAGGCCCCTGGGAGGTCTCAGGGTCACCCCAGTCAGGCCCTGGCAGGCGGCAAGGACAGGCCTGTCACTCAGGCAGGGCCAGTGGGTCCCCAGTGCCACAGGCAGCGCCCTTCCCCTGAGGCCTGGGAGGATGGAAGGCTCTCTACTTACCTACACATGCCAGGCCTGGCACCTGCCAGTCACCAGCTGTGCCCCAGCAACAGGGGAGCAGCAGGCGAGACTGTGGGGAATGCTCAACCCCAGGCCCTGGCCTCCCAGGCCCCTGGTCCCCGCTCATCCCTTCCCCTCTCAGGCCTTTCTCATCTGCAAAGCGCCTGATGAGGACTCTCTCTGCCCTCCTCACGGCACCCGTCTGCTCTGCAACGAGCAGACAGGGGCCTCAACGCCCCAGGCTACACTCCAATCATGGCAAGCATCAGTGTCTGAGGACATTCTGATCGTCACAACTTGGGGGTGCTGTTGGCATCCAGTGGGTAAAGGCCAGAGCTGCTGTTTCACAGCCCACAACGCACACCCAGCCCCCACCACTGAGATCCAGCCCTCCCAAAACTGACCACACCCTGGTCATGTGCTCAGTGGTTAGCGCATCTGCCTGAGCCCAGAAGGTCATGGGTTCGATTCCCAGTCAAGGGCGCATGCCTGGGTTGCAGGTTCGATCCCCGGCCCTAGTCAGGGCACATGCAGGAAGCAGCTGATCAATGTGTCTCTCTCACATTGATGTTTCTCTTTCTCTCTCTCTCTCTCCCCCCACCTCTCCCGCCCTTCCACTCTCTCCAGAGATCAATGGAAAAAAGATCCTCAGATAAGGATTAAAAGAAAACAAACAGCTGACCACGGAAGCACAGACTAGCGGTGAAGTCAGTTTACGTAAACGTCCACAGAATTCCAAACGTGCCAGCGCTATGTGCGCTGAAGAGAAAGAAGTGGGGCCTCTGGGCCTCTTTGGGGGGAGGAGACAGCTGTGGAAAGCTCTAGAGCAGTGGTTCTCAACCCTCCTGATGCCGCGACCCTTTCATACAGCTCCTCATGTGGTGGGGACCCCCAACCATAACATTTTTTTCGTTGCTACTTCATTACTGTCATTTTGCTACTGTTACAAATCGTCATGTAAATATCTGATATGCAGGATGTATTTTCATTGTTACAAACTGAACATAATTAAAGCATAGTGATTAATCACAAAACAGTATGTATTTCGCCGAAACCGGTTTGGCTCAGTGGATAGAGCGTCAGCCTGCGGGCTGAGAGGTCCCGGGTTCGATTCCGGTCAAGGGCATGTACCTGGGTTGCGGGCACATCTCCGGTGGGAGATGTGCAAGAGGCAGCTGATCGATGTTTCTCTCTCATCGATGTTTCTAACTCTCTATCTCTCTCCCTTCCTCTCTGTAAAAAATCAATAAAATATATTAAAAAAAAAAAAAACAATATGTAATTATATATGTGTTTTCCAATGGTCTTAGGCGACCCCTGTGAAAGGGTCGTTCGACCCCCAAAGGGGTCGCGACCCACAGGTTGAGAACTGCTGCTCTAGAGCAACAGCGGTCCAAGCACAAGGGCCAAGTGCACGGGGCTGGGCAGGGAGGAGGGGAGGCAGGAGGAAGAGGCTGCGCCAGCCTGTGGAGCCCAGCGAGCAGCCCGAGGCCTCCCTGTGGTGCCAGTGGGTCTAAGGGCTCACAGGTCGCCACTCGAGGGCTGCTCAGTACCATCCAGTTTCACTGACCCAGAAATCCCACTTCAAGAAACTCATCCCTAGGACACAACTCTCAAAGACAGAAAGAATAAAGAGCCACCAGCATTTGGTGAGCACCTACTGTGCGCCAGGCCTGTGCTGAGCATGGAATCACAGCACATCCAGTCCCTTCAGCAGCGCCAGAGGCAGGGCGCCTGAGCTCTCCATTCTACAGAGGAGGACGCTGAGGCCCAGCAGGGCCTGCTCAGAACCGGACGGTGCCGCAGGCAGGCCCAGTGCAGATACTGGAGAGGCCAGGGCCCCCCCCAGGCCTGGCGCACAGGTCCTGGCTCCTGGGCCAGTGCTTCTCCTGGGGGTCAGGCCCCGGCTCCCCGAACCACAGCTGTGGCCATGACAACCACCCACAAGCCACTCCAGCCGAGGTGGACAGAAAGTGAGTGAGGAAGGATGGGCTTTGGCATCAGAAAGTCTGAGCCGTGGCCTGACCTTGGGCAAGCCAGACCCCCTCCATGAGCCTCAGCACCCTCCCTTGACATCATGGTGAGTGCAATGGCCTTGACCTTCAGGAGAGAAAGAGCCTCGTCAGGGCTGTTAAGACAAAGCCAAGTTCCAAAGACAGACCTATGTGACTTCAGTAAGTCACTCCCCCACTCTAGGCCGGTGTACTCGTAAAACTCAGTGATATCGCTCTGGACAGTGTCGCTCAGTGGTTAGAGGCGTCAGCCTGCACACCAAGGGGTCACAGGTTCGATCCCCAGCCCTGGTCAGGGCATGTGTGGGAGGCAACCAATCGATGTGTCTCTTTCACATCAATGTTTCTCTTTCTCTGTCTCTCCCCCTCCCTCCCTTCTACTCTCTCTAAAAATCAATAGAAAAAAACATCCTCAGGTGAGGGTTAACCAAAACTAAAACATAACAAACTCAGTGATACCCAAGGGGGAAAACACACCCACCTGTGGGGTGGCCATGAGGGTAAATGAGATCCTGCATATGAAATGCCTGGCACCCAACGGCTTGGATCACTGGCCCCTTGGCCTTGGCCCAAAGGCCTCCGGTGACGAAGGAGAATCCTCAGACCACAGGGTGGGCCCCCGAGGACAAGGTAGGCCTCAAGACTTGAGCCCCAATTCCAGGCTTCACGGGGCTGTGACTGGAGAGGGATGTTCCCTGAGTGACACCAACCTTCCCAGAGCCTCAGGAGGAGGGGGCCGCCCAGTGCTGGGGCTCATGGGTGGAGTGCCCACAGGTCTCCACGGGGGCCAGTGTGAGGTCAGCCTAGCTGCCCAGGCCACCTGGGCACTGCTGGGCAAAAGGATGTAAGTGCCTTTCCTGAATTAACACATGCCATTCTTGGTTTTATTGTCATCAGTATCAACACAAAATCTTACACACAGGGTGGATGGAGAGACACCTGGAAAGGGTCCTGGTGGTAGAACACCGACCTGCAGCTGAGGTGCAGACGAAGCGCTGAGGGGCACCTGCGTGTCCCTGGGCCTGGCAGGCCTCCACCTTCTCACCTGGGACAGCAGCCTGAGATGGGCGTCTCATCCCCATGAGTCACAGGGGAGCCGGGACACGGCTGGATCTAGAACCAGCGCCCCGCCCCCTCTAGAAGTCCCCCCAGACTCACCTATCAAGGCCCAACCACATCACCACAGGGCAACCTAGGATGGATGGAAGCTGTGGCAGTGGCTGGAGGGCAGGGGTGACCAGAAGGCCAGGTCACAGACAAGCAGAAGACAGAGGCAGGAAACAGTGTCCGCCCCGCCCCAGGACCGTCATGGTGGGAATCCCATCCAGGCCCCCACAGCACCGCCCACCGACACCAGCAGACAGCCTGCTTCCTGTACAGCCATGTCCCCGCGCCCTCGCTGCTTCCCAATGGCCCCAACCCTGCCCTGCCGCCCGGGCCCTCGGCTCGCCGCTCCACCCCTGGCTAAGACGACCCTGCAGTCTGAGCTGGTGCCTCACACGCGATGCAGGGGGCAGCCAGGCTTCAGGCCCGATGCACGGCCACGCACTGCCCGCCGGGAGCCGGGAGTTTCAGATTCACTTAAAGCAGCAAGAACAGCTGCAAACTCACGCTCGTGACCTCTGAGCCACGGCACCACCATGCCCGAGCAGTGTAGGTCCTGGTGTCATCCCCACGAGGCAGGGGAGGCACCGAGGCCGCCAGCTCCTGAGGAAGAGGCCGACCCGAGCCCACTTGCTGGCGGGCTCGCCTCTCCCACCACCACCCGCCAGGCTGGCCCCAGGGGCCTCGGTGTGGACGCGAACCCAGGGATCTGCAGAGCAGTGAGCTTAAACACGCCACACGCAAGCGAGAGCACCACGTGAAACAAGGCGCGAGCACCTGCGATCTTGCTCCCGGCATCTGTTGTCAGTTTGTATCAAACGATCTCATAAAGTTTCTCTGGAGGTTCGGCTGCTCCTCACACTGACAATTACTTGGCAGAGGAGACAGGGCTGGAAGCAGCCCACCCTGCAGCCAGGACCCGGGCGGTACCGCCGGCTCTGGGCTGCGCACCAGGTGAACCGGCTGGGCCTCTGTCAGA